TTTCGAAAAAAAAAAAAAGAAAAAAAAGAGAACCCGAAAGACACCGCTATGGTATTCTCTATCTTTTCTTCGTCTATTCGTATCAATGCTCGCTCTGATGTGCGAGTGCTGTTACTTTATTCTTATTGTATATTCATATGGTTGCTGGTGTTGAATCAACTCTGGATGTATAGGTCGGTGTCGGATTTGGGGTTGAACTAAACTCTTCCTTGAAGATTATTATTACATTAGGGAGGACTTTATTTTCCAGATGTACTACCAATAGTCATTACACGAGCAAGCGTTGTCCTTAAAATAATGAAACCTATTGTTATCCCTCACCATTATCTCCCTTCCCTCTATCTTCGAGATCATCTTTATAAACGTATGACAATCCAAACAGATCCTTAAGTTCTTCACCACCCTCATAACACTTCCAGGAACCCCTACAAGCAGACCAAAAGCAACTGCCAATTTCTCGCTGTGGGTCCCCACCATCTCCTCTTTATCTTCATCCTCAACATCTCTCAACACACTGCCTTTATCAGCTATATACCCTAAACCCCGCAATTTCTCCTTCAACTCTGCCAGTTTACTGTAAATCTCAGCCGTCTGCTCGTGCGACCGGGCCCCAGCTGTAAACTCGTGCATCCTCCCACCGTGCTCGACCCGGCTCCATCCAGCTTTCTTCATCAGCCCTCTTGTTTTTATCAATTTTCTGGTTTTCTCAACATTTTCCCATTTCCCTAAGGACGCGTACAAGTTGGAGAGCAAAATGTAATTCCCCAAATTTTCCGGCTCCAGCTCGAGAAGCTTGTGTGCTGCGAATTCACCGATATCGAGTCTTTTGTGTATCCGGCTGGCATTCAGTAGGGATCCATAGATTTCCGGGCTGGGGTTCACAGGCATTTTCTCGACTATTCTTTTGGCATCGTCGAGTTTCCCCACACGCCCAAGTAAATCAACCAGGCATGAGTAGTGGTCTGTATCTGGGCATTCAATTGACTCAAACACCTGTTTGCCCTCATCTAGCATCCCCGAATGACTGCATGCCATTAAAACACCTATATACGTGATCCGGTCGGGCCCGAGGCCTTCGTCTTTCATTCTTTGCAGAAGTTCAAGGGCTTCAGTGCCAATTCCATGAGAAGCAACGCCCGTGATCAAGGCATTATACGATACCACGTCTCTCGTGTCCATTTCATAAAATATCATATGAGCTTTATCCATGCTTCCACACCTAGAGTACATAAATATCAAAGAATTGTAAATAGGAACACTCAACTTTATTCCGTTTGCAGTAATTATCTCCAGAACCCAGTTGCTGAGTTCTAAGGCCCCCAAATGACCGCAAGCTGATATCACACTTGTCATGGTCAATTCATCAGGCATCATGGTACCCTTCTCAACCATTTCTTTGAAAAGCTCAATAGCCAATTGTGATTGCCCGTTTTGCGCGTAACCCGCAATCATCGAGTTCCAGGACACGACATCCTTTTCGGGCATCCGATCAAAGAGCCCTCTTGCTCCAACTAAGTCTCCGACCCTCATGTAAGCCGAAATCATAGAATTCCATGTAACTAAATTTCTACACATGCCCAGTTCATTAAATATCTTTAGAGCCATCTCCAGACGCCCACACTTGGCATACAAATCAAGAAGTGCGGTCTTCACATACGTGTCCGTCCTAATTTTTCTCTCGTCAAGCATTTTCACCACCGAGTTTGCAAGCCCAAGATCGCCTTGGGACGAACATGAAGAGATCACATTGACCCACGTGGTCCCATTCGGGCAGACCCCGGCATTCACCATCTCGCGGAACAAATCAAGAGCCACTTCTGGACACCCGTTTTGCGAGTACCCCGAGAGCATTGCATTCCACGAGACCACATTTTTTTCAGGCATCCTATCAAAATAGTTCCGGGCACTCTCCAGGTCTTTTATTTTCGAATAGCCTGTGATCATGGTGGTCCAAGTGATCACGTTCTTCACCGGCATCAAATTGAATAATCTTTTGGCCTCAAATTCGAGGCCCCAATTCCAGTAGCCCGAAATAATCGCGTTCCAATTGGGGGCGCTTCTTTCAGGCAATTCATCAAACACCTGGCGGGCCGACTCAATTGGCCCGTATTTCCCGTAAAAAGTGATCAAGGCGTTGCAAGTGTACTTTTCCCGATCACATCCCGTCTTAATCAGTCCAGAATGGAAAAAAATCCCACTCTTTCCTGAGACTTTGACTAGTATTGCATACACAGAAATATCGTCGGGTTTCAAGCAGCGTTTTTGCATTTCCCGAAACAACGAGAGTACATCCAGATCTGAGCCACAGTTGGAGTAATACCTGAGCATGTTGGTGAAGGCGGAGGCGCCAGGGTGGGCGGCTGAGTTGAGAATCCGGCGGGCGTACGGCGGCGGCGCTCGGAGGCGCGTGCACAGGGCAACGAGGCGCGGCAGCCAGGGATCATGGCTGTGCAGGGCACGCCGGACGAGGTGCGCGTGGATTTGGTAGAGATGGTTGACGGTGGCGATTCTCGAAGATATGGTGCTGAGGTCGGGTTGTGGCATGTGACGGCGAGAATGAGACCATCGGCTGATTTTTAAGTTGTTCAACAGTGGAAGAGAAAAAGAAAGGAAAAAAAGAAAGAAAAATCTGAATTTCGTATGCGAGTGTTTGTGTGTATGTGTTTTGATTGTGTAATCCTTTTGTATCGTGTCTGTTTCCGTGGATGATGGATTGGAATTCCCAAATTTTGCTCGAAAATTAAAAAAACAAAAACTCTATCAAGTCTTGTATAGGACTGCAAACGAGACGAGTCGAGCCGAGTCGAGCATTGGCCTTATCGAGCGGATTGAATTTTTTTTTGAGGTGCTCGAACTCGAGCTCGAGCTCATCGAGCGATTTTTGGTGCTCGAGCTCGACTCGATCAAAACATACAAGAGCTCGAGCTCGACTCGAATTCATAATGTTCGAGCTCGGCTCGAGTTCGGCTCGAATTTTTTCAAGAAATTTTGTAAAATTACCATAATTACATATATATACAAGGGTATTTTAGTAATTTCACATATCTCGATCCGCTCGCGAGCCGCTCGACAATGCAATATATGTGCTCGAGCTCGACTCGAGTTCGTGCTCGAGCCGCTCGAGCTCGACTCGAGATCGGTCAAACTCGAGCTCGAGTCGAGCTTTGACTCGAGCGCTCGCGAGCGGCTCGCGAGCTGTTCGACTCGTTTGCAGCCCTAGTCTTGTACTGGTTTTTTTTTTGGAAACGAAAAGCTCATATAGATAAAACTCAAACAAAATTCACTCGAGTAACCAACTTATTACAAATTCTACCTTACTAGCCAAACAAGTAAGAAAAGAACATGAGCAAAGGCATCACCTTCACCCTACCCGGCCAAACATGGCCTAACAGAAACACAAATTTACAAGACACAAAGTGGTTCTTAAGAACAAAGATATCCTCCATAATATGAGAGCTAAAAACAATAGCTTGAGGGAAGTCTGTTGATGTTGTAGTTGAATTCAGCAAAGACACCATATCTTCATTGTTCACCTTGCAAAGCAGCTTTTCACAGGATTGGTTTTTTGCTTCTTGAAGTGCTCTTTCCACAGCAATTAGTCTTTCCATAAAGGCATCTTCTATCTGAGTTTGCACCTTGCTCCATTTATTTAGTAATGCTAGGGAGCCAACTGTTGGCTCCCTAACAGAGCCAACAGCCAATGGGACAGCTTCATGTGGGATTGTCCCACATTAGAGTCATGTGGGACAGCCCCACATGGAGCTGTATAATTGGTTGTTGGCTCCGTAACAGAGCCAACAGTTGACTCCTTAGCGTTACTGTCATTTATGAATCTCCACTCCATCTTTAGTAGCCACCCCTTGAATAATTGCATTTCCATCAGGAAAAATGATTACAAGTCCTACCTCCATGGAAAAATGACCATCTGTCTGGTCTGCAATATCATGCACCTCAGGGCCTGCAATTCTCCAGTGAAACAATTCCATATGCTCTAGCCAATCAGCCCTAGCACCTTCCACCACTTTCAGCTCCTTAAAAGGCTCTTGTCTAAAAACAAGATTGTTTCTACCCTTCCAAATCCTCCACATCAGGCATATAGATAAGACAATTCTTTCCTTAAACTTTCTAAAGCAATCACTGCCACATACTTCCTCCCACCAGTCTAGTCTATGATCATACTCTTTTTCATCCTTGAATGCATCCCAGTCCAAGCCCACCAGTTTCCAACAAAGTTGAGATTTTGAACATCTATAGAGGAGATGTTCCAGATCTTCTTTAGAGTCTCCACACAGATGGCATATTTCATATGTCTTTAGACCTCTAGATGCTAGCTTCATTTTTGTGCTTATATATCCATGGATTATCCTCCATAAGAAGTTTTTTAGCTTAGGAATCATGGGAAGTTTCCAGGATCTAAGCCACATTTTCTTTCTCCTTTCAGCTACAGAACTAGAGGACATAGTGAGGTTTGATGATTTGAACTTGAAAATAACTTCATAGGCTGATTTCATTGAAAAGTATCCTTTGGGCCCAAAGAGCCAGATCAATCTGTCTTTGTGACCCAAGTGATTATTATTATTATTATTTCTACCTTGATTTTTATTTTTGCTATTTTCTCCAAATCTTCTCCCTCTAATTTTAGAATTCTGAGACCGAAAATTTAATTTTGACTGAAATACATTTTTTACTGTATCATTTTCACGTATACTCAGTTTTTTTTCATAGACTTCAAGTAAACATATTAGTTCTGTCACTGACAAATGATCCAAATCTTTAGTTTCTTCTGTCGTCGTGACGATAGGATCATATTTGGCTGGTAGAGTAATTAGAATTTTTTCTACCACCCTTTTGTCAGTGATGTTTTCTCCATATGCTTTTAATTGATTTACTACTTCTCTTAATCGAGTGTAGTAATCTTTTACGTCTCAGATTCTTTCATCTTCATATTTTCCAAATCTCTTCTTAGAGTTTGTAATTTCATATGACTTACCTTGTCACTACTCTGATATTTATCCTTGAGAGTATCTCACGCCTCCTTTGATGTCCGTGCTCCGCTAATTCGTGGAAACATGGACTCCATCATGGCTATTTGTTGTGTGAAAAGAGCAAAATTGTCTTTCTCATTCTCCGGGTCGAATTTTTCTTCGTCCGCCGTAGACAAAGTGGATATGTCATCGGGAATAGTATACCCGTTCTCGACAATATTCCATAGGCCTTGAGACATAAAATATGTTCTCATTTTAATGGCCCAATAATTATCGTTTTCACCGAAAAAAATAATTTGATGGGTGTTTTGGGAAATGGTCATTTCAAAGATTTAATAGGCTATGTGATGCGGAAATTATTATTATTATTATTATTATTATTATTATTATTATTATTATTATTATTATTATTATTATTATTATTATTATTATTATTATTATTAATAGTCAGTAGCTTGGTGGACAAGATTGCTTTTAGGGTTTGTAGTGTCTTATTTAAAGACTTCTTGCCTTTGTTATCTGGGAGTTGATTTTGAATAAAAATATAAATTGATTGTGAGTTTTATCGAGAGAGTATCTCGTTTTGCGTGTTTACGAGAGAGTATCTCGTTTACTCGTTTTATCATTCCCATTCGTACGCTTCCCTTCATCAGTTGGTATCAGCAGTCAGTACGATTCGCGATGTCGCCGGGACGACAAGATGCCGCAAACGAACAACGTAATGCAATCTTCTACGATCGTTATCCACAGATTGACTACCGATTTGAAGAGTTGGACGTGTGTTTCACAGATTGGTTTGCCGATCTTTCGACGGGGATCGAGGACTTACATTTGACGCTTAACAACGTGGTTGTTTCGGAATTGCACGCGAACCGCGATGGGACTGTGGGCTATGGCGTTCGCGGGGGAGACAGAGGCGGTTGTGGGGGACGTAGCCATGTCGGGGCACCCCGACAGTGGTCCCCGCCACCCTGAACGGCTTTGTGGACGGCGACGATCAACGCGACGACAAAGGCAGGCGCGAGAAGGCTGCCTTCGCCGGCGGATATCGGGTCCGACGCGATTGGTTACATGATCACGAATATGGTCCATGGGAGGGCCCGTTTCGCGTGGACATTCTCGATTTGGATGGAGAACAACATGACAGACCATTGTACGACGCTCCGCCGTTTTTCGATGAGGAGCTTTCGAGGCCAGAGGATGAAGCTGGAATTGTTGCTATTAATACCGTTGAATTTGATGCGATTCTTGGTGGCCGCATTGTGCAGTATAGAGAATTACATGGGAACGAGTTTGACAAAGTTTTGTCATATTTTAATTTTTGTTTCATACCCGGTGGTGTTGAATTTTTTAGTTTTATGATGCCCGGGGGTGTTTGGGTTGGAAGTAAGGGTCCTATGTTGTGTGGGTCGGCTAGGGTGGATGTTGGGAGACATTCAATTTTCGTGATCGATAGGTGGAAACGCCGGGCGATGATTGGCATGGGTACGGCCCCAGTGTCGGCACGTTTGGTCTGACTTCGAGGGCGAAGTCTTCCGAACTGGAGGAGGATGATGCGGATATATTTATATTATTATTATTATTATTATTATTATTATTATTATTATTATTATTATTATTATTATTATTATTATTATTATTATTGTTATTATTAATAGTCAGCAGCTTGGTCAAGATTGCTTTTAGGTTTGTAGTGTCTTATTTAAAGACTTCTTGTCTTTGTTATCTGAGAGTTGATTTTGAATAAAAATATAAATTGATTGTGAGTTTTATCGAGATAATATCTCGTTTTGCGTGTTTACGAGAGAGTATCTCGTTTACTCGTTTTATCCTTCTCATTCGTACGCTTTTCCCTACATCACTATGTAAAAGCATGATATGAGAAAGTATAGGGTATTTGGACAAGATATGTAAAAATGAAAGGATATTGAAAATAATGCCGCTCAGTTATTGATCCAACCGGGCTCTGATACCACAGTTTTGGTATCTAATAATTTGTACAAAAGTATAAATAGGAACAAGATTTAAATGCTATCAATATTGTTGAGTGTTTTTTTTTTTTTTAATGTAATAAAAGAAGAGTAGATGCTTATGGATATAATGTACAAGAAGTGATTTTTCTTTTCTATTCTTCTTATTCTTTCATTCCGAACACACACATAAATATAGCATACAATGAATAATTCTAGAGTACATTATTTTTCTTAACAACTCAACTAATTTCTAACAATTTTCAATTAATGACAATTATTTCAACTAATTACAACTTTATTCTAGAATGTGCATTTAATAATTTAACAATGGTTTACTCGAAATTTTTTTCGACTAAAAGTAATGTTCTTGATAGAGAACTCAATCAAAAGAAGTGCAATTAGTTTTCAGGATGGAAAAATTCTGCTCAGGCATAAAAGAGCCAAGCTTGAGCCAAGTAGGCCTCTCAATGACTATGACTATGACTATTTTCTTGGTGATGAGGACGATGTCGGAATGTTTAAGAAGCCGTCGGCAGATGAAGCGGACTCTCTATTGCTCCTCTTACCATAATAATTGAAAGCATAT